AGGCGGCGGCAGAGTTGGATATATTGCTAATACGTTGACGATGCAAGAAAGTTTCATCTAATCTTTCCTTACACTGCGCTTGTTTCCGTCATTCCTGATTTAACTTGCCATTTGCAATGTGAAAAGCAGTGCTCGCAGATTGCAAGAATTATCCTGCAGAAGTGGAAAGGATCATTGCTTGGGATGTGACTGGCACTTGCTCTGTTCGTGCATAAGTGTAATTCCTAGCAATGAGTACGCTCATTTATACTCATTGATATGGTTACTTGTGTACAATTGTGATTTCATCATTTGTCATCTACCACATTTAGACGCCACTGAAGTATGAAAGAAGACTGCTTGCCTAGACTTCCTCTCTAGCAGCGTTGGGTCTTAATAGGTTGTCGGGGGAATAGGATGAGAGATTGATTCTCCTGATGATTTCATTAGATGACATCAAAGCAGGGAAATTGCAACAGAGAGTGGGAACACATCTTTGGTGAATAGGAAAGCATCTGTCATTTGAATGATACTGTATGAACGTCGACAGTGGCATGTAACCTTGTCCGTGGAGACACAGTAATTATGATGTTTTTCTCATCAGGGATATTATGTTTGTGGACAGATAGCTACATTCATAGATAGTTGATATATTTAGTTTATAATGCAATAGGGATGCAGGAAAACAGTTTATCATGGATCTTCAGACCAACGGAAGAATCAATATATTTATAAGTGAACAGTTTTTGTAGTTATGTCTGTGTGAATGCCAATGTTCAGACATCCAGGTCATGTGCATGGCTGGATTAAGATTCTGGGTGCATCATGTAGATGTGCACGCAGTTGATGGTTCAATATAATGTTGATTATGTTATTAATGGTTCACTATAATGGCCACACCCTTGTGTGTTAATTAGGGTTAGCAGCTCTAATGTTTGCAATTGTTAGTGGTGACAACACATATGATACTACCCCATATGACTTTAACTTCAGTAACATTCATGATCATATTATTAATGTTCATGACCATATTAATACATCATGTCATAATATCTTCTTAACCAGAGTCTGATCAGATGTAGGAGTCCTGTGTGGTTGTAACTCTTTCTCTTTTCTGACACTAAAAGCAGTCTTAACATAAAGATGTAAATATGGAAATGTAATGCTTCATCTGTCAATATCCTGTGTCCCTAATGATTATTGTGAATATACATGTTCTACATACACTGCCTATAGATAGAATATAGTATTATTTATAGTATTGTAAACACAACTGTCCCACTGTGTATTACTATGGCATACTTACTTACTATAACTCTACCATCAACATACAGGCATGCCATATAGTAGATAAAATAGATAAAATCATTAAAGCTATTTAGCATTACCTGGATAACATTTTCAGAACTGAAAAACCAAGAATACTACAAAGCAAAGTTTTGGGTGCCTTGGGCAGTTGCCCTGTTTGCCCGGCAAGTTAATGCGCCTTGATCATGTGATACAGTCCAAACTGTAAGTATTTGGACCGTCACACATTTTTTTAATTCAGGCTCTGTGCTGAAGCACATTCAGTTTGAAATAAAATGATTCACACATTTAAGTACCAAGTCTCAGCTTTATTTTCATTAGGTTTGCATCCATATAGAAAGAACTGAGATAGCACTTTGAACACATAGTGCCCAAATTGCAAGTGTTCAAAAGTAATATGACACTTGGCTAATAAATGTTTCTTGGCCAGCTGTGCGTCATTTCATTGTTAGTTCATGCAAACAAAAGACCTCACACGTGGCTCAGTTCTGTCTGTCAATACGAGGAGTAAAGAGGTGCTTTCTAAAAGAGCAGGTGCATATTGGAAAGCTAGAAAATGGCAAATGACCTGGCAGATGGAGGAGTACAAGTCTTGTGGGTGAGTGGAAAATAATTTTCATGGTGAATAAATACCCCTAAATGACTGCACAGCAAGTCAAGAATGCTCTGCATGATGTAGCCGTTTCCTTAACAACGACCAAGAGGAGACCTCATGACCAGAACCTCAGAGGATTCACCACAAGATGCAAACCCCTGGTAAACCTCAAAAACAGAAAGTTTTCCACAAAATATTGAATATGATATTTTGTTTGACTTCATGTGTTCAATTACTTTTGAACCCCTTAACTTTGGATGTAAAGGACAATCTCCCCCCACATGCTTCTCTCTATATTGATGTAACTTCTCAAATTAAAGCTGAGACTTGGCACTTTAATGTTGTATCCATTATTTGATTTCAAATTGAATGTGCTGAAGCACAGAGCCTGAGGGACAAAAAATGGTTAACTGTCTAAATACTTAAAGCCTGGACTGTATGTAGCAGCTGTAAAACAAGGGAAATTGTGTTGTTAAGATTATCTGAGAAATTACATCAACAATGCCTTGCTGGTTATTACTGAAATGTCCTCTAGAATTTACCTATTAAGTCCAGCTGCTCTTGCTTTGTATTGTTATTGCATATGGCTCTGTTGTGAACGAAAACATAATAATTGCCAGCAGGTTTTAGAGAGCACATAAAGAATAGATCATTCAAAATTTCTTATTCATTTTAAATCAGTATGATTTTCACTCTCCTATCAGAATGAATTGCATTCATGATTAAAGCTCCTTGCAGTGTCTGTATCAATGAAAGCAGATCCTCTGTCTTTTTAACCCTGCCTCTGATCCTATTAAAGCTGGATGCTTATCACCTTCATCAGGTTTGGAATGGATGGGAGCTTAACTGCCTTTGTGCACATTGGCAAGAACTGACCTGACTGATGTTTCATTATTCCACACTCAAGGTTACAACCTTGAGAGGAAACAAAAAGGGAAAGCCTCGGAAACCGATTAGAGAATCAAATCATCAGATGTTATCATCAGTGTCTTAATCATGGATGTCACACCCTCAAAACAACGGGCAGCACACCAATGCCACCAAACACTGAACTATAACCCATGGCACCAGCATAACATCCGATTGTAGGTCTGTCAACACACAGGGCTCAACCTTTGTGTAGCCCAACAGTGCCATCTAGGAGGATGAAAGTAGGAGTAGGTTAATTGAACTCTGGTGTTACTTTTTAAAGAGTCTGCACAGTCTTTGCATTATTTCAACGTGAGAGTAATCCTTCAGCACACAAACAAACAAATACAAACAATGAAGGGCATAGGGAGGCATGGTTTCTGCTCACCTTACAGTTGGAGTGTTATACAAACAATTACACCTTATCTGAGACACATGCAAACATAGAAGGGCCTGTGCAAACTGGCACGTTTCACTAGACTATAATTACCAAACAGGAAGAGAACAGGAAGTACAACCTGGTGGTCCATCGTAAAATCCTGGCTGTGACTCCAGGAAACTCTCCTATTGTGTCTGTATTCCCTTACCACTGAGATTCTTCTTCTCTGTGTATCTGAAATGCTCTGCCCTGTAGTACACCATGAAGGAAAAGGGAACACATGCTGTAGATAGAAAGATAGATAGATAGATAGATAGATAGATAGATAGATAGATAGATAGATAGATAGATAGATACTTTATTGATCCGCAAGGGGAAATTCATGTAATAATTTGTAATACATGAGGTACATTACAATACAGTATGTGTGTAATAAATTAAAATCATTTTATGACACAGGGTTTTTTATCTTTTATAAGTTTGGCAGAGGTTTAAGCATTTTAAGTGCCAGAAGATAAAAGATTGGGTTGTTTACACAGCCTGATGGGGGTCAGATGTCACCGGGGCCATAGGATCATCAATCACATGTTATGTTTGTTTTAGGTTAATGGGCAGTTAAAACTGCCACAGAATCAACTCCAATATTTCACAGCCAAACACAAGAGCTTTTGGGAGGAGAAGACTTTTCTGAAACCTCAAAGTGGACTTTTACCCATCTGAAATACTATGAGTCAGATCAGTGATTGTACAGTGGAGTCCTTGCATAGTCCACTGCCATTCCTTTTTTCCTAAGGGAATTCGCCTTGGAGACAGCCTTGACCCTTGTTTTGCATCCTCTCAGGTGAGAAAACATCGTCACTGGAAAAGGGTATTCAGTTGACGCCTATGGCAAAGGTTATTACAGGTTATTTCCATGGGCAGGGTTTTAGGACGTCCCACACTGAAGAGAGGGTGACGCCTAACAGAGAAGCAGAAGTAGGAAAGGAGCTCTCACACTGTTCCAATATTAACAAGCCACAAACATAATCATTCAAGTACAGCCCCTGTGGACTCATGATATAGTTGTTTAATGCTCAGGAAATAATTGTTTAATTTTCAGATCACACTGCTCTGGTTTAATGTTAATATGGATGATAATAATAACAATAATAATAACGCCTTTTAGTGTTTCAGAAACAGTATAAAGAAAATAGACTGACAATCTATGAAAATGAAATACTGAAATACCTTATTTCACATCACACAAGGTCTAGTGAAATATTTTATACAATGATAATATTTGTGTGTAATATCTCTTAAAAATAAGAGGCTCGAATCGAAGTTCGCATCATTAGCCACCTGAGAAAATTGGGACCTGTCACCAAGAATTATATAGGTTTTTCATATTTAATTATTCATTAATTTTGTTAGATAGAGACTATTTACTATTTACTTATTTGATAGAAGTTCTACAAATTTTAAAATGGTCTGTAGGTAACTACTGGCATTAAGGTGGTGGATTATTAGTGAATCTGTTTTTCATTTATTGGCCTAAAGGTTGTCAAATTTAGACATATTGCGATTTAAGAATACATGGATCTTCCATCTAGCACGTGTAAATGTTTTCTTGGAGACTGTAAACTCGACCCAGTTGCTAAAAACCCCGGAGATGCTAACAGAAATACTAATATAAAGGACATGATCTCACTGCCGTCAATGTTGTCTACAACCCTGGTTAGAGTCATGGGTTGTTTTTACATAGACGATCTTTGTACTGGAGTAACGGCATTGGTCAATGAAACTACCCAGGGGCGGGGATTTCCGGCAGGCTCGTGTGGCCACAGTGCAGAGTGGGCGTTTAATCCGTCTTCTTCCCCATCTCATACATGACTTCACGATTAACGTTACACAAGTTGTGAAATTTCCAGTCGCTGCCGGCCGACGAAGATGACGGAAAGCTCTGCGAACAAGCTGCTAAACGGAGACGCCTGTCACCGGACCTCTAATGGTAGAAAACCGAGCAAAAATGGCTTCGTGAAGAACCACTGCCTGTTTCAACAGCCACAGAAGTATCGCCGCCCCAGGGAGAAGGTAAGGCCCAACCGTCAACTGCTCGGTAGGGGAGGGCCATAAACAAGCACTGCTGTGTTTGGCACTGTGTGTAGTTAACTAGTTTAAATTAAGAAAAAAATGTTGGCTCATGAGTTATTCATTTATTTTTTCCGTGTAGGTATTGCGGCTCTAATTTCTTGTCTTTTAGTTGTTTTATTAGCAGGAAGATGAAAAGTGTAAGCTTACGCCATGTGACGGCATCCTAACGTCAAATCTCGACTAAACTATGCAACATTAATCTAATTAGTTTATTTTATTCAGATTATACACCGGCCTACGTATCTTAATGTCCCACCCCAGTGTTTTGTCCTAATGCGACATGTTTCAGGCTAGCTGTTGCCAAATGCTACACTGAATTTCATTTCATATACTTAAACTCTAATCACATGGCTTAAGAACTGTTTATTATTATTATTATTATTATTCCCATTAAGGCTTAAAACGCAAATTTAGTTTGTAACCACTTGTGTTGTTGTTGCGTTTTAAACTTATTGTTTGGTGGTACATGCCACCTGATCCGGGAGGATTGTAGTGGTGACTTTTTGTGTAACCTTACACCCTGTTGTTTCTGTGCTCCTGAGTGAGTGTGTATGTAGGTGTGTGGGTGAAGTTAGACTGGTTTCTGTTTACAATGATGAAGAGGACCAGGGGCCTGTTGTGTTGTTACCACAGGAGCTGTCTGTCTGTCTCCTGGGAGTGGAGGGCAGGCATGCTTCCACATGACCCTTTAGCGGGAGAGGAATGTCTCCAGGCCATGAAGGGTGTGGTCCCTCCTGGGGTGGTATGAAAAGCACAGAAAACACAGTGTATGTGTGTAGGGGTGGAGGTGGGGTACACACATGCCTTTGTTTTTCTTCAGTTGTTTAGGTTCAACACAGGAGAAATCTAAAAACCATACAGAACCATGTATACTGAAAGTAATGCACTAGCTCTCATACTTGAGCATATCACATTCCAGACTTGCGACAGCATTCAGCTGCAGTGCTGCTGATTTCAACATATAGTGGATTTATACAATTAGGTCCAGATGCTGTTGCTGTCACCAATTAGATTCTCATGCATATTTTCTCTCCATCCTCCAAGAAGTTGGAACAGCTACAGTTTACATCACTACTAGTAATGCTGTCAGATTTTGGCCTGATAGGGAATATGCATCATTAAACTTCCCTAATACTAAGGTCTAGTATTTGAAGCCACAAGACAAATTTAAGGCATTACATTTTTACCAGGGATGAGTTTTGTATCTGTCAGATGAACTACACTATTTTTTTATTCATTTACGTCAAAAACAGAGATTGGGCTAACATTAATGATACTGTGCACAGTATTTACCAATATGCAAACATTAGGAATGATTACAATTACTGTTAACACAAAAAGTGGCATCATGTCATCCTATGAGCTCTGATGGCTCTTTATACGGCAACTGAAATTGGCATTAGATGCACATAGGCCTATGTTTGCGAAAATAACCCAGGTCTGGAGGAACTCTGCCATCAGTTTTTCTGAAACCAGCTAGTCAGAATGGGACTGTGTTCCATCTGTCAACTCCACACAGGACAAGTACAGTATTTAGACCATTTAAGCCCTGGTGTCAGTCACAGACCGATAATGAATTTCCTTGTGGGTCTGGGTCAGCTGAAAAAATTGATCTTTCTTTATCAGAGATCCATATAGGGATCGGCCATAATCCCTATATGGACAATGTAGGAAATGGTTAGAGGCAGGATTTCTATGAGCAGGCAGGAATAAATGATCTCACTAACAGCTTTCAGCTGGGATGGTAGTGTCAATAATCGCTTAGTACAAATGAGCCATGCATTGAATTGACAATTAACAGGGAGAGGACTTACTTTCACTCTGTTTTAGGCTTATTGTGAAACATCCACCATGTGCAAGCTTTTATTATTGTGTATGCAGTGTAATATGACCATCTTCTCTGTAGCTGCAGAGCAAGCATGAGAAAGAGCAGGTACCCTGAGTGTGTTGGTTGGATTCTCTTCTTGGGAGAGTGGTTGTGCTGTCCAGCTATAAAGGAATGGCACAGGCCTAGCTCTTCTCAGTCTCTGTTTGTCCACACATATAAAATATTAAGCAAACATGACGTCAGGAAAATTGGATTTAGCTGCTGTGGTTGGCATCAGTATGCAACAGTGTCTTTGAGTGGTGTACTTAGATGTGAATGTGTTTTTCGGGCAGCTCACAAACCATGGCTACTGGATTGCTGGTCTTCCAAAGCATTTTCTTTTTAACTTATAGAGAGACACTGCAGTGCTCTACTGTTCCCTGGCTCAGAGCTATTTCTTGGAGAAGCATGACTGGTCACATGAGGTATAGTTGCTAAGCTGCAGGACAGAGCCTGTAATGAGCGACCGCCCTCATTTGTTTAGTGTTGGGTTTGTAGACAGCCAGTCCACAGTCCAGCATGAAATTATGCTAGTACTTTTTTAGTTTTTGTGGCATTCCTCCAGCATGTGACCACCTTTGTACGGGCCCATAATTCAAGATCAATATTGCTATTCATAAAACTCAATGAATTAGAACCCTGGGTTGATGTCCATTTTACAGCTCACTGGTCCATGGGGGCCCGGGCGTACTAAAGTCTCCATGAATAAACGTGCTTATGGAGCCTTTATTAGGTTTTTAACTCTCCTTCCAAGAAAAATACAATTTTAACAAATCACCCCTGCTGTCATTTAGTCTGCCCAGCTTTTACTGGTTTGGTCTGGTCTGCTTTCTATCACAGTTTATTGGGCTGCCTAATGTGGCAGATTTAATAAGTAAACAGACTTGAAGCGTAGATAAACCATTACCTTTTATCGGAGAAACCACCAGCCATTGGAATGGCTTATTTGAACAAAAAGTAGTATGAGTTGGGTAACATTTATACTCATAAATCTGTTTCTTGGACTCAGATTTGTTTGTAAAAATCGGTCTTTGTTTATAGTATCACACAACCTGTGCTACAATTTTTACTTTTCAATTGAAATTATAACTTGTAGAGACATATAATTGCAACTTCTTTTACTTTATTCTACCACAGAACCAAAATGTCACATACAACTCCAGCCTGTACAAGAAGCCCTTTGTGGAATCGTTTGAGGAGACTCCTCTACTGGTGGCCGTGCTCACCTACATGGGCTACGGCATCCTCACCATCTTTGGCTACCTCCGAGACTTCCTCCGCCACTGGAACATCGAGAAGTGTCACGTGGCCCGGGAGAGAGAGGAGCAAAAGGTACATTAGTATTTACATTACAGCTTTTTGAATGCAAATGATTATCAAAAACAAACAAGACTGCCAAGACTAAGACTAAGTTTCTGTATGTGGCATTGCCCACAAACTCCAATATACATTTCTTTTAATAGTAAATTAAATATCATCCCTCTCTTTCCCATTTCTTCTGCAGGATTTTGTCCCACTCTATCAGGACTTTGAGAACTTTTACACCAGGAACTTATACATGAGGATCCGAGACAACTGGAACCGACCAATCTGTAGTGTCCCTGGTGCCAAGATGGACCTGGTTGAGAGAGTTTCCCATGACTACAATTGGACTTTTGAGTAAGTTGCTGTGTTGTGGCTGTGAGTGTCTGTTATTCCATGTCTGTATGTGCACAGGCTTAATTTAGAATCAATGTGTTGTCCATGAAGCTTATTCCTTCCCCACAGGTGGGAGTCTGTGCCTCTGATCCTTAGTTCAACCAGAAGCTCAGTACTTTAAGTCATTGACCTTGTACTTCTGATAATAAGAGTGATGTAAGCCATGATTCAAATGGTTATGTTGAAAGCGCTAGTACCTGTCACATGGCACTGAATAGAAGCTTTGAATAGAAAAAATAGAAACACAAAGCAGCCCGAAACACACAATTCTACAAATCACAACAGTAGTAGGCCAAGTATAATTTAGTATCAATCCAATTGAGACAGCTCAAGATTCAAATGAGTGGCACTTATTTGATTTGATTTTGTCTCATTAACTTCATTTTATTCCTAATTGTAACCCCAAGAAAATCGAGAACACCTTAACTCCTACAGTACGCACAAGAACTACTTGAGTTCTTTTGTATTTAAGACACAAATATTCAGTAATATACCAACACATTTATGTCAATGTGTGATTGTTAGCAGGACTAATAAATAAAGTTAGGAACGTGCATTAATATCTCTGTGGACAAACTGCCCTGAGAAGTGAAGGTTGTCATATTTTTCCTATTTATCTCACTGATATGTGTTACACTGGTATGTGTATAATGTACACAGTCTTTTTGGTCTGTACTTGCCTTTGCTAGCTCAGTTCCCTTGGGACAATAAACTATTGTATATTATCACAGTGCTTGATAACTGTGGCGGTTAGGACAACATTGAGCAGGAAACTGTTGCCAAGCAACCAGTGCAGACAAGGTTACCCTGTTGAATGAAATTATTTCTATTAACCTAGAGTCAGGGTACCAGTTCTGTTTCTGACTCTCTCTGTCTCTGTCTCTTTCAGTCACACAGGTAAAGTGGTGAAAGATGTCATCAACATGGGTTCATACAACTACCTCGGCTTTGCTGAGAAAACTGGGGCGTGTGCTGATGCTGCTATTGAAGCCACACAAAAGTACGGAGTTGGAGTGGGAAGCACTCGCTGTGAAATGGGTAAGGGTAAAAAATATAAGATTTGGTTTTTAAGCAGCTGCCATGATTTGTAAACATTGAATAGTGCTTTCAGTGTAAAATTAAACTCTAAATCCAAGATGAATCAAATGGACTTCCTAAAAACCTCACTTGATAGTTTCACGGCTGCTCCCACTTTTGTTTGTTGCTCTTTTACAATACAGGCTGAAGTGGAAACTGAAAGATTGAGTTTGAAATATGATAACACATTTCTAACACAAAGTCCTTTTCAGTTTGCAGCAGCTTCAGTTTGACCTGAGCAGCTACTGCTTAGTTTGTCACATTAATTTGTTTTATCTTTAGAAAAAAGAAAAACTGTGTTAGTGGTGTATTTAGTAAAAGGAAAGTGAACTGACTTCACAGGTGTGTGTTTAACAGGAATAAGAAAACAAGTGTGACTTAACACTGCCTGCTACAGTACAGTAATGGGGAGTTGTTAAACTGAGATGATGTCATTTCCAGGGAACCTGGACATCCATGAGGAGATGGAGCAGTTGGTTGCCAGGTTCCTGGGTGTTGAGTCATCCATGGCTTTTGGCATGGGCTTCGCAACCAACTCCATGAACATTCCTGCTCTCACTGGGAAGGTATGGAATTTCATTCACTTCCGCTGTTTTTTGTTCTCCCTGCAGCAGCCTACTCTTGATTTGATTGCTTTTTAATATTCTTTGTTACTTGATGGTCACAGTGGCCCTTGTGCCCATAGTATAATTGTAAGCAAGCAACACATTTACTGTTCAGGAAAAACACTGTTTCCTGTGTAAAGTGAAAATATTTTCAGATGTACAGCCAAGCTCGAAGAGTTCAGGCTGTTGCACAACACATTAGTTTCCGGCCGGAGCTTTCAAAACATTGTGAGTGCTGGAGGTCAGAGAGTGATATTTGGCTAGTCCAAGTCTCTGTTGTACTAACCCCAACAAATCACACAGACCAGTCCTTACTTGTGTCCTTGTGTGCTCTTTTCTTTCATAGCCAATGCTGCTTGAACAGGAAGTAGAAAACTGAGCTGACGGGCATGTGTACCTTGCAAGTCAAAGAACACATTTCCTCAGGAGTGAAAAACAAAAATGTAGATGGACAGAGAGAAACATACAGTAAGACAGTAAAGATCTGAGGCACTGCCCTTGTTATAAGGGCTTATAAATTCTTAACTGTACTTGTCACATTTCTGCTTACTCACATCCTTATGTTATGGCATAATTGTGTGTTGTGTAACAAGCTAATTTATTTACTGGCCAAAGAGGAAACAGTGTGACCTGTGTGAATGTTTAGATGTGTTGACTTGATATGTATCATAGAATGGGGGGAAAAAAAAAATTCCCATCCTGGAATTATATTTTCTTGCTTACGGTGAAAGTATTTGCTTTTTTAGGGAAGCTTATGAGAAAAATCATGTTTGTTTTTAACAGGTTATTATAACTTTTGGTGAAGTATTTAGTAATTAATATATTAGGTGGTGTACTGATTTTGTCACTGGTGTCACATTCTGCTACAACTTGGATTTTGCAATACCATCATAACCATGATCAACACACACACACACACACACATTTTGGTTTTAGCACATACACGAGGGAGCTCTACTTCCTGAAACACCCAGTGTGTCACATCCACAGGTTACTTACATGCAGTAGACTCATTCGACTTAATGCGGTGCTGTGTGATGCATGCTGGACTTAAAATGATGCATACTGGGTAGAAATTTTGTGTGACTTTTACCGGTGCTGCAGAATGTCACCATGTCACATGACATTAGAACTTTTGGGAGCAAGGCAGCTGCAGTTAAAAGTAATAATGAGTATGAAAGGTTCATGTGAACAGCTTAACCTGCAGAAACCTGGATCATTGGCTGTACTGCATCTATGTTCCAGAGACTTCAGTTCTGTCTGGGTTAGAAAGTCATTGTTCAACACTGAAAACTCCTGCATGTCAACTCCTGGTGTATTAGAATTTTGCGAGCGAAGCTCTAAAGAAGGAATAGTATTTGACTTTGGCTAATTAGGGACTGCCACTCTTGCAATGTAGGAATCAGATCACCAGATAAAAAAAAAAATCAAAACTCTGCAACATTAGTTCAAAAAGATAAACTCTGCACTTTCTTTCTTTTTTTGTTTCAGGGTTGTCTTATCCTGAGTGATGAGCTGAATCATGCATCGCTGGTACTGGGAGCTCGTCTGTCGGGCTCCACAATTCGGGTCTTCAAACACAACAGTAGGTGACCTCCAATAATAAGCACCTTTCAAAAGATCAGTCAGATAGAATTTTGACTTAGATTACACCCAAAGCACTCACAAACGCAGAACACATAGGATTAAATTGGCTATAATGAGAAGTAAGTAGCTGTAATCTGCTTTACACAACAGGAAAGTTGATATATTTAAGATAGGTGTGTATATGTTGCAGCAAATTACTTCATTCAATGCAAATTGTCTTTACTACAATTGTTCACTTAACTTTATTTCTGCAGTTCTACCTTACTTCACCACTGTTTTATCTTTCTCTCATTTACTATATTGAATCACAATAGTAATCACAACAGTAGTCACTATGGGTGTGGTGTGGTGTGATTTATTAATATATTTTATGGTTCAAGACAAACACACACAGGTATATGTATACACACAGTCACCAGAGATCCTGACTCACCCAAGCTAACAGTCAGCAACCAGGAACTGGGCAGGCCGACTGCTAAGGAAACACTTGATGCTTCAAAGGGTTGCAATCATAAAATATTGACACTCATCCATTACTTCACGAAAGCTCTCATATTACTTTAGAGGAATAAGATCTGTCCTTGGCTGACAAACCCATCTCTCTTTGGCTCAGAAATTTCTTTTTCTCACTCTCAGTTGGTTAATAAGTAACTTAAAACTTGTGTGAGAAAGTGTGTTCAATTCGGAAACTCTTTTGTATTGTAGACATGCAAAGCCTGGAGAAGCTGCTGAGAGATGCTATTGTACACGGCCAGCCGAGAACGCACCGACCGTGGAAAAAAATCCTCATTGTGGTGGAGGGCATATACAGGTATACACAATAATTTTTGTATTTCTCTCACACTTTTGCATAGTACTAAACTTACCCCTTACACACACAAACATACGGGCTTGAAAATTGCCTGAGCCAGAGAACCCACCATCATAAACCTTAAGCTAACTTATCTAATTAAGTTTTATTTTCTGCTTTATTGTTATTTCACTGTGGGTATTTTTATGCCACAGCTGTATCACACTACACTGTGTTTACTGCCTGTTACTTGACACCCACAGTTCTCTGGACTCATTAATCTTTATTTAGCTTTACTGGTAGTTAAATTGTCCTTTTTATTTGTACATTTGAGAAAACACAATATGGCACATTTCAATATACTAGTGTATAGTACTCACCCATGATGCATACTAGTAGTAGAACTGTAACTTGTTAAAGAGATTGTGGTGTCACAATGCAAAGCTATTGATTTACTAAGCCTCCCACGTCCAAGGCTTCTTTTATGGGTTAGCAGCAAACTCCTCCCCAGTAAAAATCTGAGGCACCTTTTATAAGATAAGTGAAGCAATATTTCAACAGATGAGAGTTCAATGTGAGAACAAATCTCTGCTGACTAAAACATACTATACAAAAATACCAATACCTAACACAGTTTTCTAAGTCACATCCTCAGATTACCCATGATGCCTTTATGATGGCAGCATTCCCCGATTTCACATTATTTAAATATAGAAAATAATGGTAATTTGGACATGTGCCCTCTCTCCTTTTAGGATAATGTATTCTTTGTGTACTTACTATTAAGGCAATCGATCCTGTTGATCAATATAGATCTCACTGAAGCTGCCTGACATAATCAATGCCCTTTACGAATGCAATGTTAATGGAGTTTCATGTCCACTGGGATTTTCAAAGCAAATGCTTCAACTTCTAAAATAAACAGTGTTTACACACACATTAACACCCACACTGTTGTCAGCAGTCTTTCGTAGGGTCAACTGCTCACACGCTCAGCCACACCGCAGCTTTCTGATTTCAAGGGTAGATTGTGTTTCTCAGTCAGCCAAACATTGGTCTATTCTAACCAGAAAGATAATGTCACATTGAAATAAACTGTAGTACAATTAAGTAGAGTGGCTTCAGAAAGTACTTGGACCTTGTTGCTTTTTGTACACTTTCTTTTGTTGTACATTGAACTGTAAATTGATATAACTGCCATTTTTGCCCATCAATCTACACTCCTAGTGACATGGTGAAAATGTTTTTTCTTCAACTGAAATCACTCATTTACAAAAGTATTCAGATCCTCAGTTTTGTAGTGTAGATACTCCTTCATCAGCAGTTGTGTCTCTACAAGCTTTGCACACCTGGATTTGGGCAATTTATCCCATCCTTCCTGACAGATCCTTTCAAACCCTGTGAGATTGGATGGAAAGCGGCTGTGGACTGCCATCTTCAGGTCTCTCCACAGATGTTCTGTACGATTTAAGTCTGGGCTTTGGCTGGGCCACTCAGGGCCAGTCACAGACTTGTCCTGAAAACACAAAAAAAAAAATAATTAAATCTACAACACAAAGAGAAGGGGTCTGAATACTTTATGATGCCACTGTACTTAAGAATGACTTGTGAAACTTTACATTTTTTTTTTTTAACATCATTGTGGTTTTTTTTCCTTAAGTATGGAGGGGTCCATAGTACGTCTGCCAGAGGTCATTGCTCTGAAGAAACGCTACAAGGCTTATCTGTACCTGGATGAGGCCCACAGTATCGGGGCCCTGGGACCTAATGGTAGGGGAGTGGTAGACTACTTTGGCCTGGATCCCAAAGACGTAGACATCATGATGGGAACATTCACCAAGAGCTTCGGTGCTGCCGGGGGATACATTGGAGGCAAAAAGGTTGGTGAACCTGTTGAACAGGTAAAATTAAGGTGACATCAGACATGTGTTGTAAGGGGAATAGTAGCTGGAGCACTTAGTCATCCTCTTTAGAAACATGAGCAATTTCCCAGACTGCTGAAACCCAGCACGTTGTGTGTCATTCAGTTTTGGTGTTGCTCAACACTGTTTACCAGCAATAGGAAATTTAGCTTCCCAGTTTTCTGAAAAGGATCTGATTCAGTGTAAACTCTCATTTTCAGTTGGAGTAGAACTGAAAACAAGTCTGTTATTTTGTGCTACTTCATTTGGCCAAGGTAAAGACAAATCTACAAGCACAAAGCAAGGAAACACATACCAGATGGAACTACATCTTAGGCAACTGTTCAAAAACAGAAATGACTGAACAGTTTTCACACATTTTTCAGAAAAATGAATATTTCTCATGCCCAGAATTCCCAGCAGATGGCGCATTGACTGAAATATTGTTTCTTTAACAATGAGCAAACCCTTGTCCTAAACATTCAAACTAGTTCAGTTACAGCATTTTGATTAAAACATTTGTACGTATTGTGTTCGTGTTCTTACCGGCCAACAAAAGAGTTAACTTTTATGTAATTTCTTTGTCAGGAGCTGATCGACTATCTGCGGTGCCACTCTCACAGCGCCCTGTATGCTACCTCCATGTCCCCTCCTGTGGCCCAGCAGATAATCACTTCTATGAAAATCATCATGGGAGAGGATGGGACCACACTGGGTAGGAGCCAGAAAGTTATACTAATCACTTAAAAGTACATCTGTGGTGATTGCCATCACCTTCTTATCATTTGTATTCATCCAATTGGAGATTTTACTGTGCCTGGTGGTGTTATATGTGACCACAAGATGGCAGTATACACCTGTTACTCAGATTTTCTTCATTCCTGCAAACTTGAGGTCTGTAGCTGAAGTATTCGATTTCTTTCAACTAACATCACCTTTGCCAGCTTTTGTTCTTTGGCTCTTTCATACTTTGTCTGCCTGTTTACCTCTGACGTATTTTATTTCCAGCCAACTGATAAAGGCAAACTGGTAATTATTTACCAGTAAATAAAGGTGTGTTACACAGCCTTATCAAAGTGGACGACATGTGTAAACCCATTTTAGGTATGATTTTCATGCCACGTGTGTCCATGCCCTTCATACATCTACGAGCACATCATGTCATTTGGAATGTTAAGTTGGAAGGAAAGTCCATTAATAGTCACTTCCTGTTGTAGAATGTCACGTGATCATATTTTATTTTTCATGATGGCAGCAGTGACAGTGGGCGTTCTCTCTACATTAAACTGCATTGCTTTGGAAAAATATTGTTTATTTTCTAATATTTTGAGATGCTCACTTCAGATTTTGAGGATTTCTTTTGTTGGCTGAAGAGTTGCTCTTTAAAGTTGCAGGTGCTTTTTTTTCCCACTAACCATTTTGATGATGGTGAGATAAAACCTGCAGTATAGTCGGGTTTCATGTTTCATGTGGATATGCATATTTGAAGGTCTCCCTGTAGTCCTCCACAGCAGTTTCCTCCTGTCTTTATCTTTCAGGATGTGACTTTTTTTGGAACTGGTAGGTGGACAGTTCCTTGCTTCTCTCTGATTCCCGTCTAAAAGAAGGTCTTGAATTGGTGGTGTGCTGACTCCTCTACCATCTCACTTTATGGCTTTCAGATGTGTGTTTCATTGCATTTCTGTGCTTCTTTGCCTTCACGCTGGGTACAAAACAGCATGGTGCATAGGGCCTGAGATCTGTGGTGATCAAACTCTGTTGGACTCGTATCCTACACACACAAACAGATCACCAAGGCTTGTTTTTCTTTCAGGGGCGGCACCTCTTTAGTCTTTATGGGGCCTGATTGATGTAGCCTCCCTTAAAATGCTGATATAAGATCAGATTACCTTGCTCCCCAGTCATTCAATCATTAAGAACAGGAATAAACACCTAGAGTATCCTTTATAGTGTGGCCTTTCCACAATGTCATCAGCTCTTTCTCCAAACCGTTTCTGAGACGAGAAGGCCAGACTGGCTGACCTTGCAACATATCCCAGCTTGACATGTTTTCCTTGTAGAAGACTAACAATGACAGTCTGATTGGTTGCAGCCCTGTCACTGTTTGAAATTCAAGCCTTTGAAGATCCAGACACTGACATGAAGTTGAAGTGACAGTTGAGCTGCCTGCTAACGGTTTGTTGCTGCATTCAAGTTGCTAAGGGCGGCTGCTCATGGTTCCCGGCAGCGGCCTGTATCAAAATGGACATTTGTTGTTTGAAGCTTACATCAATCAGATATGTGGATGGTACATAAGGGTACAGGACGGGCAAAGCTTTCTTCAATTCGAAAAGAATGCTAAAGCGTTTGGAAAGCAAAATGTCTGAATATCATATACTACTGTTTTCTGCCAACTGATCACTCAGTGCTGAGAATAGCTTTGGATTCCTTGTCTGAGAAAAAATTATCTGGATAAATATAATGTCAGACTTTGTTGTGTCTCAGGAGTGCTTTGAAGCTGTGATGTTTTTGCTCCGTTATTCAGCAAAGCCAGGCAGATGTGTGTTGCTGTTGGCGCTTTGTGCCATACGGTTATTTGTCTAGTCAAGATGCTGTCTGTGGAAGCTCGGGTCGAGGATTCAGTGAGTGAATCCACACTGCGTGTCAGACTGACACGTGAGGATTGATGCCTGTGTAGCTTCAGCCCCTTGACCTCAGACTTAAAGAATCCTGGTTGTCTTCAAAGGCAAGTGGTGTAGCGCCGTCTCCAAATATGTGTATAACATGATAGAAGACAAGGCCTTTACTGGAGAGCTATCCTATAGATGTTTTGGAACAGGGGGGGTTAAATAAATACAGTTAGTTGTTGTTCTGAACTTTTAAAGACTAAATAGGGGAATACAGAAAACATCAATGGTGGAAAAGTTTGCAAAATGACATGCTGTTTCCTTTACTCAGCCTCTGAAGGAGAGCTGATAATGACATTTTATGAAGCTGTAGTTTAAAGGCTCTGCACACCCTCACAGGTGTTTTCACTCTGGCTGATTAGACCTCTGAACAGCGTGCCTGAAATTGTGAGAGGTCACCAGACTTCATGTACTAATGGCAATCACAAAAGTGAACATTGTCCCGTCCTAACAGGTGCAGTAAAACTAATAGAGTGAGGAGAATGTCAGTCAAGAAAAGTCTGTACAGGCTGATGAGGAGAGAGCTAATCAGGCAAATTAAGTGAGAACACCTGTGTGGGTGCACAAAGGGTGAGAAGGGGCTTTAATCAAAGCCAAGAGACGTTAATTGGTAAATACTCAAGGTTTTTTAATTGCAGCAGAAAAATGTTAAAAATAACACAAGCTTTGATAAATAAGTAAAATGTTTTAAGTATTATGATTGAGTCGACAGGATTTTCTTCATCAGTGAACAGTCTACAGTGTTCATTCATGGTGTTTGGCTACAGTTACAATAGAGTAAGACCTTAAATCTGTCCCTGAGTTGAAGTATAAGTCACCAGAGTAATTCAAACAGCTCACTTACCAACAAGCTTATGCCTGTGTTGTTGAATACAGGTCTAAAATACCACTCTGAGTATGATTCTCTGCCTTTTCCAGGTGCTGATCGCCTCAGGCAGCTATCAGAGAACACCACCTACTTCCGCAGGAAACTCCGCGAAATGGGCTTCATCATCTACGGCAACGATGATTCACCTGTGGTACCGATGATGCTCTACATGCCTGCCAAAATTGGGTATGCCTCCCCATGTTGTTTGGTATATAATCAATGCTTTTTAATATCTAGGATAAGTATGGTGGCTAATGAGAGGAATAGAATAGAATCTGAGTGAATGTGTGGAAAGCTGTTCATGATTTCTCACATTAAAGAAAACATCTTTAGGATGTGGTGATGGTAATGGAGAGACCATGAGTTAGACTTGCCAAGTGTTGCCCTGTGTCTAATGTTGCCATTGCCCTGCAGGGCATTTGGACGGGAGATGCTGAAGAGGAACATCGGCACAGTGGTAGTCGGCTTCCCGGCGACACCCATCATCGAGTCAAGGGCACGTTTCTGTGTTTCAGCTGCTCACACCAGAGAGATGCTCAACACAGTAAGTCTTCCAATAAATGCAGTCACTGTGCGAAACACAAAACAAATTGAAAATGCATGGGGTTTATGCATATTTATTTTAAATTATACATTGAGGCAAATGTCTTTTTTGGGGGTAAATCAATGCAAAAATCCAGGTTAAAATCAACTCAGAATATATATATATTTTTATCTTAAAAAAATTGACTGATGACATGTGACATCAGTAGCATCTCCATTTTTCCTTTCACTTTCTATTACCAGAAGTCTTTTTCAGAGGTCCTGGCAAAAAAGGATCCTTTTGCTCTCAACTGGTGTGTGGATAGTTTCCACTTGCAGGAGCAAAAGAACAGCTTTTATAGGGGTGGAAACTAAATCAACTTGAAAATCTAATTTAACTTGTTTGTTACTGTTTTTTATTTTATTTGTGTTTTTGATTAAACAATAAAAACATGTACAAAAACAATCTAATTATTCAATGCTGCCACTTCCAATCTACAACAGCCAAATTTATCATCCAAGATGTAAAGAGAAAGACACATTTGATCTCTGCTCTGTCTACTTCTCCTCTGGATCCAGTTGAGAGGATGTCGTTTATTGCTGAAGACTTAATTTATCCTCAACATGATATAAGAGTTTGTTTGGCTTCATGGGTGATCGTGGATCCAAGTACTCAGTAAGCTTTTCATAGCTGTTGATCAACCAGATCTGCCTGTCTGGCTGCTGACTGACAGCTTTGTGTGAGTGTGTCTCTGTTGAATAATAAAGGTTCCCAATATGTCCTTTATTATGAAGAAACTTGGAAGGCTAAGTTGTCTCTGAGTATTATAGTGTGGCTCAGACAGAGACTTTTATTTGAGCTGCTCTGTCTCTCCAAAGACACTTCATTCATCTTACTGAGGAGCATGTCAACACCGTTTGTAATAGTCCATTTAAAGGGCATCAGCCTGTCTTTGTAGAGCACTTCGAGGAGCCGCTTTTTCCGTCTTTGGAAAAGCCAGCTCTCGCTATTTCTCAAACCACTGAATCAGAAAAAAGGTCAGGAGGAAGGTAAATTGTTTCCAGGTGTCCTGCAGTGTTGCAATGCTGATACAGTCTCTTGTGGAAAGAAGTGGAGGAGTTTCTGTTCAGTTGTGGTTTATTCAGGGAGCCTTCTGTTCACCTTTTGCTTTCGAAGCCCCCTCTCCTTCACTTCTCTGACTGTAGAATAGCTAAAAATCCAAGTGTGATCAAGGTTTATCACTTCATCTATCACCTACAAAAGAAATCTCTTTTCAAGATGCGTTTTTTTTATTGTCTGGCTTCTCTGTCTCGCTATCTTCACTCATTCTGATTGATGTAAATAATGTCTCTTTGGATTCAGATTAATAGCATTGTTCCTCTTCCTGTTCCAGGCATTGGAGGCCATCAGTGAAGTGGGTGACCTGCTGCAGCTGAAGTACTCTAGACTTGAACAGCCCCTTCCCTCTCTGGTGTGGATGTCTGAGGAGAGCTTGCTGCAGGACTGAGCCACATCATCCCCTCCTCCCAGATCACCTTTCCTCCCTTACTTTACCTTTTCTTGTCTGATATCCCTTATTTTCCTCTGAGCCAATTTCTCCACCCCACGTCTTCATATCTCTTTGCATCGGACTCCCGAGGACTCACCAAAACCAAAGTCTTCACCCTGGTCCACTTGGTTTTAAAACCTGCACACTAGCATCGCTCATAAGCCTGCGTGCAGTTTGTGACCTGTCCAGCTTCTTCACCCCTAACAGGGAAGGACCAAAATTACCCACATCTTTTCTTTGTCTGTGCGTTCACAGCCTTTCAGTTTGTCCTAGCTTATTGTGACTACATCAGTCTAACGTCAAGTCTTATCCCTGTGTGCACATTAAATGTGTATCTTATTTGTGCAATAATAACAACAACGTGGAGTGTCTTTGTCAAACGGCCTAGAGCAAAGTAGACTGATTTTTGTCATGAGTTCATACTTGTGCACTTGGAGAAAAAGAAATCTGATCATAGCCGTTGCTATGATGCACTCAAAAGGAAAAAATTATATATGTAAATATTATTTATCCCGAAGTTGGTAAAACTGCCTTAGGGTAGCAACCCAAACCTCAAAGAGAGATACATTATTTCACAGGAGTAACATAAGCATGTGTTCTCCATATGTATTTATCTGATGGCTTTTTTCCTAATCACTTTTACTTGAATAGAGAGTATAGAATATTGGGTCCTTTCCCTCACCAAAGGATATATATATGTATAGATATATTTTCTACCTTTTCTCTTAAAATGCAAAGCAGATGTTCCAAACGAAAAAATTTAACGGGGGAAAAGAATCCCAGGGAGCAAGACTAAGGAATATTTTTTACTGCTTATTTTCTAGAAATATTTTTCAGCCTTATTTACTGTTTACACCTGCACTCAAAAACTTGAGCCCAGTGTCTTTAACATTTCTATAAGCTAATGAGCTACATATGTGATTGTTGTTTTTTTTTTTTTTTTTTTGGGTTCAGTCATTCTCACTCAAGTGCTTTCATGTGTTTCAGCGTCGACACCCATCTCTGAGCATGATGACACGCTGTAACTAGGATCTGTATGTATGACGATGCTGTGCCCACGTTTATCAGTGTAGAAGAAAAAAAAGGCCCCATACTTCAGCTTCTCTCATGTTACACTGATTTCTGGTGTCTGGTATAGCCTTAACTGAGAAAATCCTCAGCATGATGCTCCATTTTACCATGTTACTGGCCTGTTATTAGCATGAGTACATCACTGGCATGTCTGAGCAGCGTGGACCATATACACCTAACTCTTACACACATGCCCTAACAACCTAAAGACTTGCAAACACAAAAGACTAAGTCCAGAGTCATGAGAGAGGCCACATACTTTCACACCCTCCTCATCTCATCTTGTTACACATCTGGATCTGTATTCTTTCGCCCTGTATATCCTACTCCTCCTCCCGTCTTCCTCCCCCCTGGTTCTCTCTGATCCTGCTCTCTCTTCTCAGTAGTGGGGCTGTTCTGATCAAAGGCCCGATGGCTGATGGCATGCAGCGTGTTTAACAGGGAGACTGTATGGATGCAGCGGGGGACTCAGCCTGGTTTGGAGACTGCTTCTCTCCCCAGACAAACATCAATGACAAATCCACCCCTTTGGCAAAACACAGTGTCCTCCTTTCAAGTGACTGAAAAGAATGGATCCATTTTGGGCTACTGTCATTGCTACTATGTCTCGATGGTGACACACATTCAGGTTAGGGAGAGTGGATGGGGGCAGCAGGGGCTGAGGTGAGGGATAGGGATGGATTCCGGTAGACTTGGGGGGCAGGCTGGGAAGGCAGGCGATGTGGCAGCCCTGATTTATGTGCCCGCAGATATCAAAGGCCCTCTGCACTTGGCTGTTTCCAAACCATTACATAAGAGAACAATAAACTATGGCGCTCTTTGATCGCCATCTTTTGCAAATGGAAACGGACAACACAAATGCCATGCCTGTGTGGAATCGGGCTGAGGTTGTGGATGGGTGGGGACACCAAACAGCAGGGCAAACAGGTCCCAATATTTGGGAAAGAGGCCACTTCCACACAAACTCCTCCTCCTTCTTTCGCTGAGAGATGGGGGTAAAACCAAAAACAGGAAATTCCACATCAACACAATAAAAGAACCAATGTAAACAATCAGATGAATGACACTTGACCCCGGCTCCAGTGTGAGAGATGCCGAGGGTTTCGCCTTTTCTGGTTACATAAGCATCTCGTTACCCGGGCACTCCCGCTTTACTGAGTCTCCCCTCCTCCTTCTTCTTCTCTACAAATCTCCCCCTCTCTGTCCACCACTTTAGAGACACGCATCTAGCAGGTCACAGGCGAAGGTACAGAGTCACCAACTGCAGCCTTTTGGTGACTGAGAAGCACACTCTCACAAGCCGCAGTGAGATGTTTTTCCTCTACTAAATCATTCCCTTCATTTCTTCCCTGCCTCTTTTTCATCTCTGTCTCTTTTTGCTTTGACATCAGTCAGAGAGATGATGAGAGAGAGTCCCAATAGGGCATCCATGGGTGGCCACACAAGAAGGAGAGAGTTCAAAGGCAAAAACTGAACCCTGACACAAACACACACAAACAGACTTTGATATCCAAATACGTCCATGTGTAACACAAACATTCCTGTAGACACACACCACACACTGCACAGAGGGTGTGTGTGTGTGTGTGTGTGTGTGTGTGTGTGTGTGTTGTGTGTGTGTGTGTGTGTGTGTGTGTGTGTGTGTTAGGGAGTTTTAGATTTATTATAGCAGGGTGTTTGCCCAGTGATGGCAAACCTTACTATACATGGAAAGAAAAGTGGAACAAAAGAGAGCAACATGCACTGATCTGCTCATTTCAGCTCTCTTCATTGATTGAACCATTGATGGAGAGTAGTGTTGAATAAGCCAGTTTTACCGTTTTTTTCTCCAATATTCAAATTTTAATGAACAAAAGTGCACAATGTAAGGTAGAATGTGTCTTGTAAATGACACCAAATTACTAACCTAACTTATAATGTTATGTTCCCTCCTGGCCCTTAATTGCAGTGTGATTTGTACTTAATACAATTGTTCTAACTACAATTTGACATTTTATTAAGGTAATAAAAGCTACAGCACGATTTTTTTTTTAACTTTAATTGCAGTTTTTCTGTGATGATGTAGTTATTTTTAGTGTATTTGTAAATGGAACAGTTATACGGAAATACATTTTAACAAGCGTGTGCAAAGTTTCAAAGACGCATTAGCTAGTTTTCAAAAAATTTCAGCGGCAGGTGTGATTTAAAGACGTCGCAGCATTTTGAAACTTGTCTAACTTTCTAAGCTACGAAAAAAAAAAAAGCCAACACACAAGAAAATGTCAGAGGAGAACTTACCTTGTGGGCAACATTCTTTGTGTCTGGTAGGAAACCCCGTCCCCAAACTAAGGAGAAGTATTGACCAAAGCAGAAGCAGCATCTGAAATCTCCCCGCAACCTCTTGACGCATCTTCTCTTCTTCGGAGCTTCCTGTGAAGGTTTGTAAAAAGTACTTTGGATGCTTTTCTCAAACTGCTCTCTCTAAATTGGTGGGTTGGTTTGGAAGAAGCGCTTGTGTCCTCCTTGTCCTGCGTTTGTCAGCAATTTTGACTCGGGACAAATTAAGTTTTAGGCCTCGTCGGTGTCAAAGTGTCGCACTTTATGAAGATGCGCACCAGCGTCCTGAGGTATCCCGCGCGCTATCCATATCTGGCACCAGCGCCTCGCGCAGCAAACTGTCAGTCCGTATGGCGGGTCGAGCTCAGCGCGTCTCTTCCCATAAAATCACAGTTGGGAGAGCTTTAAGTACCAGAAAGAAGTCAGATACCCCACGCAGAATCTCTCCGTCCGCACCGGCGCTCGCTTATTCAACTACTTTAAACTGTGAGTCACTCCGTCGTGGGTGGGTGGGTGTTTTCTTCCAATTGACATCTGGAGCTCATAGTATGCTGTGCGTTTTGCTAGCTATCTGTCTGATGCATTAATCCATTATCCAGCTGAAGTTCATCCACCGGTTCGATTGCGTGTGTGTGTGTGTGTGTGTGTGTGTGTGTGTGTGTGTGTGTGTTTTGTGCGTGCGCGCGCGCGCGTGTGTGTGTCTGTGTGCCGCCCAGCCAACCGGTTTCGGTAAACTTGCCTTTGACGCACGCATTTAGAGGGTTGATGCTGAAGGAGTTGGGGGTGGGATGCTCATTGCTCACAGCTGTGTGGAGGGGGTGCGCTGGGCCACTGAGTTTCTTGATAAGGTACAAGGTTTAGTTTGCATGTAACCTACAAAAGGATGCAGAGGCAGCACACAGAGGACATTCACTTACTCATTGAGAAAAATACATTTAATCAAATAGTCAGTCTTGAAAACAAAACAAGTGAATCATTTCCCTTGTTCCTACAGTCTGCTGAATCACGTTTTTTCTATAGGCTTGTTTGCCATTTTCTAAACTCAAACAAATTATTATCTCACCCCACTGGCATACTGTTTCAGAGAAATACCATCAGAAGACCGTAGTGAATGACTGGCCGATGTGGAATGCTGTATAATGGCAGGATGTCAGTGACTTATCAGTCAAAAAGGCTCTACAGCATGTTTGTCATGAGCTTTTAAGATGTGACTAAAGTCTGTGTGTGCTGTAAATAAACACAAACCCATTCCAGAACTTGATACTAAGAAAGTGATTTAATCTTTGCAGCGCTTTGTTCCACCAGCATGGTCAACAAACATCATGGCTTTACAAACTCCTCTAAGTGGTTTATCTTCAACCCCAAAATACAACTCCAAGGGCAAAAGCAACTGATAAGTAAGTTTCCAATGTTCACTGCAGTTCAGTTCGCAGGTATTTGTGGTAGGTAGGCTGGAAAATGTCACATTACATCAAAGAGCTGCAAGCAAGTTTGCGTTTGAATAATCTCTCTAGACTTTAATTCCTCAGTTTCAGTGAGGGAAACCTGGCTGAGAGAAACCGTCACGTTGCTGTTTGCAATTACATTTTTGCCTCCATAGACAGAAATGCAGAGACTTAACATACTGCATGGTGCTGCAGACAGCTCAAGAGGAAACTCTGACAAGAAGAAATTCTTTATGTCAGGGCACATTTCTGAGGAGTGCAATTCCAGATCATAGTCATGTGTTTCCACCTTTTATATTACATTTATTAAAAGCAAATGCATCACTGAGTTGTTATTCAAGCCATTTTCTGTGAAAGAAAAAAAAAAACAAACACAATATTGGAATGACTCACACAAAAATGCGACTATGTCTAAAGGATGTACAGTTAAAAAGAGACCCCAAAAACCTTGGCAACCTGTGCTATAAAATGCCATAAACATCAACAAAAGCATCTCTAAACTTGTGTTGAATTGAGTCACTTTGATGACATGTGTAGGAATGGTCACATTGCCAGACAACTGCCAGCTTTCAGACTGGCTTCACCGACGCACCCTCCAATTCACATCAATAAAGTGACAGAACATAAACACACACATGAACACAATGTTTGACAGTGGCATGTATGCCATGTTTGGGGTGATCTCATACAGAAAAAAAAAAATTAGACAAAACATTAAAATAAAACAAACACTGAACAATAAAAGCAGGTTGATATGGAATGTAATTCCAGAAGATGATCACAGATGATAAATTATGAGAAAAAAAACTGACATTTGAAGCATATCTAAACAAATCTTGAAAGTTTCAGTGGCTACGTCATCTGTGCATTTAAAATGCCTGTCAGTAGTGCTGCACTGAAGTTAAGACGTGTGAGTAGTCCGTTAAAACACATACCTTCCACTGGACACACATTTGGAGCTGCCTTTCAGGTAATAATTAAGATTTTTGACAAACATAAGATAGCTGAAAATTGACAAATAAATAAAGCCGTCTGTACATCAGA